CGCCCGCCCCCTCCCCCCGCATCCCGGAACAAATAAATAAATAAGGCGCGCGAGAGGCCACCACGTCGCGGAGGGAGATGTTGTTATTTTTTGCTGTTGTGCGTCCCTGACGTCACATCCACCTGCTGGGTAAACAACAGGGCTCGCAGCAAAAAAAAAAAAAATCGCAATTGCAAAAGAGGGGGATGGGGGCGCAGGCTGGAGGAGGGGAGGTGTGGGGCGACCCGGCTGGATGGAGAGAAGGGAGAGGCCGAGCCCCAAGACCAGGGAGGAAGGAGGCCAGAGCAGTCCCTGGCAAGAGAAGAATCTGGCAGGAAAGACCTGGAAAATAAGGGGTTGGGGGGCGGGGAGCTCCTCGGAAGATGGGAAAGGGGGACTCCTGCAGACCCCGGAGAGATGGAGAGCCTGAGTGTGAACTCCAGGGACCGAGATGAGAGCGCGATGGCTCTTCACTGGTCTCTGAGCTGCTCGTACCGAGGGAAGGGGAGAGGCGAGGCGGGGAGGCGAGTTTCCTCAGTTAAAAGTGAAAGTGTTTGCCCTCAGTGACAGCTGAGGCTCGGGGAGGTCGGCGGCGACCTGGGCCCCTCTCTCTTCGCCGGTCCTCCCTCGGTCTCTCCTCTTTCTTTCTGCACTTTGTCCAATGAAAGAAGGCGAGTTCGGGAGGTGAAAGTTCAGCAGAAGGACAAACCCCTGTTTGCAGGGAAACAGAAACCCCGCCAGCGAGGGGTTTTTCCTGGTATCGCGGCATCGGGAGAGAGTGCACGGCGGGGCGAGCTTCCCCCCTTCCCTGTCAGTCACTGCAGGAATGCACGGTCGGGCCCACTGGGGGGAAGCGGCTGCTCCGGGAACTGCGTTCCTGCCACGGCTCCTCGTAGGAAAACACCCGGGGGCTGGCATGTCAATCAGTTGTTTAACACAAACTACCTGCTCGCCCACAGATCAGTCACGTGCAAAAGCTTTCCCAATGGTGCAAAGGTGAGATTTTTTTTTTTCTTTTGGCCGTTTTGAAGTTCGCTCGAATTTTAGAAATTTGAAGGAGGAAACGAGGAGCCCGAAGGAAATGTTTTTAAATATATACATCTATTTTAAAAAAAAAAAAGGATACTAGTATTTCTTAGTATTTCTTTCACTTTTATCAATATAAATAGAGGAAGAGGCCGAATTTGTTTCCAAAACGTGACTTAGAAAAAAATATAGGTCCTCCACTGGCTTGTTGCTATAACAGAAATAATTTTTTTTTTTCAGATTCATCACCCCGGATGCTGCCAAACTCCCAAGCCAGCACGTGCAGGTTCTAGCTGGATGGTTTACACCAGGCCAGTTCTTCATCAAAATGCCTCAGGAGCCAACCCTCTGAATTCCTACAAAGTGCTTCCCGCAGGAGAGCGAGACTTGCTGTCCCTTTGGTCTTGACACTAGCACAGTTGTAGATAACAAATATCCTGAAAAGGATATTATACATTCTTTTGGGTGGTGTACTTTTACAAATACGGCTATACATTCATTGACAGGAGATTCAAATCTCCGTGTCAATGACAGGCTACCACTTACCACTTTTTAAAATTGTATCTGCTTTGCAAGTAAAAAAAATAAAATTATAACCAAGCCATTCACTGGTGCTGTAGAATCAGGCACGAGGGGCTGCGCTCAGCTAGTTCCAGCACAGCAGCATCCATGCATGAGGCTCCGGCGCCAGGCTCCAGTCTACCCAGACAAAACCATCCACCCGATCTTCTAGGCTAGAATCTGGATAGATAAAACACATTTTAGTGTTGCGTTTCCTAGCTTCCCAGAGCTCGGTGTTCCTGTTGTCTTTGTCGAGACATTAACACATGTTCCCCTGTGTTCTAGACCATAGAGTGGGCTTTTAGAGATGCACAGATAAATAAAACTCCTGCCAGGAGCACTGCAGCAGCCTACAGCTGTCAATCATAACATCTAATATTTATTGAACGCTTTCTATGGCCTAGGCACTGATCTAAAAGCTTTATGTCAACTCGCTTAAAACTCTCCGCACCCCTTCAACAGCACTGGAAATTCCACATTCTGAATTCACATGGCATTATTCAAAAAAATCTACATAGTAGCCATTCTATTGGGAAATTTTTGTTTTTAATTTCTGTGATGTTTCTGCCAAATATAACTTGTTTATGATCTATTGCCTGGTTGTAGAGACTGTCTCAGGGGAATAGCAATTTATTTAGACGTGACACATCTATTAATTGTCGGTGAGGTATCATCCTGATCTTGTTTTTCAGATAAGCCACGTGGGTTGTTGTTGTTTTTTAATCATTATTGCCATACTAAAAAGATTCTTAGATTGCCACTGATCTCAGTCTGCATTTTAACTGCCTTAAATTCTACATTCATTTGCAAGTGGAGGCCAGAGTCATGTTGGCAACAAGTTTTTAGACAAAAGGAAATCCTGGCTGTAAATCCCATAATATATGGCACTCTGCTTCATATGGGATGGTCTAATGCGGAGACTTATTAAGGAACAGCTATAGCCCGCTGGGGCTCCCGTTCCAGGGAACTTACTGCAGCTTAACGTCTGGCTCATTGTCGACACCGTCACGTTACATTCGTAAGGAGCAGATTTTAATTTCTTTATCAGTAATCAACTGGAAGTTTCTTTTTGTTAAATTACAGCAAGAAGGGTTTTCAAATAAAGGGCATGGGGGTAGGACGCCACCTTTTGGTGATAAAATAAATAGAAATCCTTTTTGGAAACATGTTCCTGACATGATTTTATTTTTAATTACACCCAGGCAATGGTGCTTGTCCCCGTTTCCTCGTATTTTAAGGTACAGGGAAGAAAAAGAACAATATAAATGGACAATTAGCAGATTACTGCTAACTGCAGCCAGGATTTCCCCAGAAGTACCAGAATGTGTCGGTGTCCTGCCGCACACCGCCAACTAGACATCACACTGGAGCCTTAATCTCCACGTACTGTGCCACGGAATATGTGCACGTTTGGGGAAGAGGACTTGGAGTGGAGACAGTTGCCACCTCCTTAGATGCCTGAAGCTCATGGAAGTTTAGAATTGAGCAGAAATCAGAACAACCTCGTTCAGTGTCTCTTAAAGCAGAGTTAGCACCTTCCCAATTTTTTTGCGCTACCTATATGACGTCATTTCTACATAATCCCCACACTGTACTCACTGGCGGGCAGGTGTGGTGTTGGTGTACCATTTCCACTTCACAACAACCTACTTGGCATTTTTCTTTTACCATTTTCAGCGGGAATAGGTGTCCACCTCCATAAACAAGTGCATTGAAACAAAGTTACTGATTTCTCTTTGTGCGAGTTTAGGGAAAGGAAAGTAGAAAGTGCATTAAAAGAGATTGCCCAGGTACTGAAGGTCCTGGAGACTTTTACAGACGCAAACCTCTCTGAAGGTTTTTCTTCTCCCCCTGCACGCCCCCGGCTCTGGAACAAGCAGAAGGATTCAAAGTGGTTGAAAAGGATACAGTCCTCAGCAGGGGAGTCTCCCCTCGCTAATGCCAGCCCTGTGCCCAGGTTGCACAGCAGTGTTATCAGATTGCAGGTGAGGCCCTGGCATTTAAACCATTCACCAGAGCCAAACGATTGGTGAGTGACTGGACGAGATGAGGACCCAGGAGTGCTGGCCTGGGGGATTTCCATCTCACTTTTTCCACATTCGCAGATGTGACCCATCCTCAGACCTCAGGCAGCATGCCTAGCTCCCCAGGAACAGCCATCGAAACCGAGCCCACGCTCAAGATCAAGTTCAACACCCTTCTCAGCCTCTTCAATGTGGCAGACACCTGAGTGGGCAAACACAGGGCAGAGGGAGGGCTGCAGGGGCAGGTTTGCAAGTGTGGGTGGACCTTTCTCAAAATGAAAGCCAAAACCTTTGATTTCCCTCCGAGAAGGTGAAAAGTCATCATGAAAATCACGTGTTTTACCCTAAGTGCCAGGAGGAGCCCGTCCTCCCTGTGCCCATGCCCCTGTCTGTCCAGGCTGGAGGTCAGCAGGGGGTCTGCTGTTTTACCATATATGATACCAACAGGCACTGAGACCCAATCACATTTGCTAACTGTGTGGCTGGAAAAGTTAACCAGAGGAAGCTTGATCGACCCCAGCTTTGCAAGTATTTTCCTTAAAAACAAACTTCACAGGCTCAGATTTAAATCTGGAGATGTAGTGTCCTTTGTGATATCCTAACCAGACAGGGGCTTTAGCTACCAAGACCGCATTTCCTGCCTTGTTTTATTTTGTTCCCTTAAAGAATGCAGTTGTATACACAGAAGTAAATATGGCCTGCCAACAGCTTTACATTGTTCTAAATTGGTCCTTGTGACAAGAGGTTGCCAAGAAATCTACTATACAGCAGTTGGCCCCAGGGGACCAGATGGATTGAAGTCCCTCTGCATGACAATGCACAAGAAAGGACTTGGCCAGTTACCTTCATGCCAAAGAGCTGTCCCTGCGCCCTGAGCCCTGAGCACCCCATGAAAAATGTTGGTACCTCAAAGACATACGAAGGGAGTATGGGAGGTGCAACCGGCGGCCAGTGCTAGATCCCTCTTGCCCCTAGCCTTGTTGTGCAAAGTATGATGTGCTGGCTTGTCACACACCTGGGGGCATCTTGAGATGCAGAATCTCAGCCCCACCCGAGGCCTACTGAATCAAAATCTGCATTTTTTGCAACAGCATCCGCTGAGCCTCCCCCAGGCTGAGATGAAGTACTATGACCTGCCATATCTGGGTCCTCTTTACAGCTTGGCACCATTTGACAGAAGTTCCCATGAGCCGTCTGTCATACCTGATTCTCCAAACGGGCATCTTTTATAAACATGGGTTAGTTTCTTCTTTTTTATCCACTTACAAAGTTAAGCCATTAAATCACCCATGTAAAGCATGATTAATTCCTTTGACATTAATAACAGGGTGACTTCTCTCTCCTGTTACCCCAAAGAGACTGCTAATTGCACTGCAATTGTTTACCTTTGTATTGTTTTATGAGAACTCAGGGAAAGATGGAAGATCTTCCCCACCAGGCCAGGAGCAAAGGCCAGACAGGTTTTGGAAAGCCTGAGCACATGCTATGACTACACCTTGTTAGTAGAAGGGCTTTGCTTTCTTTGTTTTGTTTTCTTTTTTATGGAAGGAATGACGCCTCCATAATTATAGGTGTTGCTGTTTAAATCTCAGAATGTTTTCCAAACCGTGGAAGGGCCACACCTCCAGCAGCAGCCCGTGAGCCATCCCGGTTGGACTCTCTCTCTCCAGCTCGATGAACACTTTATAAAGACCCATCGGAGGGAGCCAGGATTTCCATGGGCTAGAGGGACAGCAAGGGCTGCTTCCTGCCGGGACATGAAGGACCCTCAGGTACTCTACAGCCCTGGTGAGGTTCTCAGAGAGACCGACAGTTGGTTCGTTTCCCTCACGAGACAACAGGTTCCTTTTGTAACCCCCCAAAAAATAATTAAAACCATTGTTTTAATACTAGTCCTAAGGCGGTGTAATTAAGTCTCCAAGTGAGTAATTGTGTACCTGAATTCAAAATAAGATTTCACATGTAAAGCAGAGTTCTGATGGTAATCTCTGAGAAGTGTCTTGGCTTAGGTTTAGACTGCACAAGTGCCAGCTCAGCATTACAATAGGCATTGTTAGGTAGGCCTGGCGGACAAGACCCGTTCGTCTGAGAGGGGAGATGCGGCAGGCCCACCCACCTGCAGGAACAGGGAAGCTGGGTGCTCCTCCCTGTGGGAGGCGTTGGGGGGACTGCGCAGGGTGAGGCACCAGCACTTTCGTGGATAAGAACATCTTCACATAGGTTTTTAAACGAGAATATCTAAAAAATAGCTCTCAAGAGGAACTTCCCTATCCCCACACCCAGGGTTCTTGAGTTATCGTTTTAAATTAAAAAAAAAAAAAAACTATCTAAAGACTTAAAATTCAATTTGTCTGAAGACTATAGGAATCCTGTGGTTCTGGAACAGAGAGTGAGGTGTCCCTGTGGACAGATTTTTAACACATGTGCAGTCACAAGATAAACAGGTACAGAAATAAATCGACCTGTGTGCCTACGTGGCTTGGTATGTAAACGGGCTTCTCAGTTTGGTGCACCAAGAAGCTAGAAGCCGGGAGCCCCCAGTCGCAGTGAGCACCCAGAGGCCGCAGATCTTGGCTTCTAGGTACCTTTCTCCGATAAAAGAAATCAGGGCTCCTTGGAGAACCAGTTAGTTCCAGGAGTGGGAGATGGATGCTGGAGCGTCTTGTGGTGATGAAAGGTACCGGAGAAATCCTAGGACAGGGGTGGGCTTAGGAGAGGCCCAGGATTCAGCTACAAAGAACTCTTCAATCCCAAAGATGAGACCTTAAGGAAGAAGAGGAATACTGATAACAGTGGTATCTAGTATATGAGAAGTGACACCTCTTCCTGGCATGAGATGGCTGGAGCCCAGCAATCCATGTTTTAAAGCAAGTTTTAGCAAATCATATCGATACCATGACCTAAGGAATTCAATCACTCCATCAGGTGGCTGAGATTATGGATGTCTGAGTATCCTGTAGTCAGGAGCACCAAGCACACAAGCCCCAAGGACAAGGGGCAGATGGTGACTGGCGTCACCAAGAAAGCAAGGCCAAGACTGGGAGAGCTTCAAAGTTTTCAAGGTAGGTGAGAAGTGCAGATTGGGGGGGGGGGGGCGGGGGGGGGGTATGTATTGGGGGGAACAGGGATTGAACTCAGGGGCTCTCTAACACTGAGCCACATCCCCAGCTCTATTTTGTGTTTTATTTAGAGACAGGGTCTTATTGAGTTACTTAGCACCTTGCTTTTACTGAGGCTGGCTTTGAACTCGGGATCCTCCTGCCTCAGCCTCCCGAGCGGCTGGGGCTGGGTTACAGGCAGGTGCCACTGTATTCCCGCAGAGAAGTTACAGATTTTGATGCAAATATTCCTCAGCTGTGAAATCCAGGATGGGCCAATCAAAACAGGCCTCAGGTATGTCGAGAGCAAAGGCTGCCCAAGTTAACCCCTGTCCTTGGGAAATCAAGTCCCCACGTCAGTTCAAGTGAGCAGGATGAAAACACAGAGAAGAAGGGAGAGGTGGTGAGCACTCTTACTTATTCATGAATTCCTTCCCAAGCATGAATAAGTCACCAGGAGCCTGTTCGCCGTTCTGAATGAGGTCAGCAAAGACTCACCTTTTCAAAATACCAACCAGTCCAGGACAGAACCTCATTATTTAGAAGGTGCTGCTCTTTAGAAGGATTTTTTTTGTTGTTGTTGTTGTTCCTTCCCAAAAGCGTGAGTTCAGAAGTTCTACTGGGCTGTGTGATTCAAGGACTCCACGCCCGGCCACCGCCCACCGCCATTATTTTCTCCCTCCATCTGGCGGGCATGTAACCCGTGGGAGAGTCCAGAGGCTCCTCATCTCGTCTCTGGGTACCCAAAGTCTGTCAGCCCGGCCCTCTAGAGCTTGTGGCCCCGCTTGCTGGAGAGACCTAACGGGTATCAACAGGGTCACAAGATGAACCCTCAAACATGCACCAAGAGGAGCCGAGAGCCAGGTTGGGGCTGTGGCTTGCGTGCGTGGGGCACAGGGCTCGATCCTCAGCACCACATAAATAAATGAAAGGAAGGTATTAGGTCCATCTACAGCTAACTAAAAAAAGAGTAGTGGGGAGCACACAGAAATGGAGGCACCCAGGAAAGAACAGGGTCCCCGCAGACGGCTCTCCCAAAGTGAGCGTCCATGCAAGAGGCTGGCCTGAGGGGCCATCTGCAAGTCCCAGGACGGTGGCTGGCATCATCGCTGTCAGAGGAAGTCTTGCAAGATCCAGTTCCCACCCCCGGCCCGTGTTTCATCGACCCGGAGCCCAATATAAGCACGGGAGACTCTTGAAAGCTTCCCAGGGGATTGCAATGTGTGGCAATTGGGAGGGTCTGAGGACAGCAGAGAACCATCAACTCTGCCAGTGGGAGAGACCCAGGGACCCAGAGTGGGCCCCAGCACGCTGTCCCTGTCCTGTGACCAGCACCCTCTCCTCTAGAGAACCAGTGGATTCCGCCCGTGGACCAACTCCCACAAGGGGCTAGAATCGCTTCTCCAGGGTCTTCAGAGTCTTCAGGCCCTGAGTAACAGAATTACCTAGGTGGACAGGGCCCGCTCCAGACCTAAGAAACCAGGGTGTTGGTGAGAAGCCACGAAACAGACCTGTGCAGAAGCGCACCACTGAGTTCTGGGGTACAGCAGAGTCTGGAATCCACCCATAGAAGTTTCCAATATCTACCGCCCCTGAGCCTGTGACCATTCCACTTGTTTATTTATTGCTTTTGGGACCACGGCTCAAACCCAGGGTGCTTGACCACTGAGTTACAGCCCCTGGCCTTTTTCATCGTGTGTTTGAGTGAAGAAGGTCTCACTAAGTTGCTGAGACTGGCCTCCAACTTGCCATCCTCCTGCCTCGGCCTCCAGAGTCACTGGGATGACAGATGAGTGTCGCCACTGATCCTCTGTGTTGAGCTCATTGGAACATATTATCTATTTTGGAATTTATAACACATTATTAATAAATAAGTGTAAGAGAGAACACCAGGGCCCCTTCCTCCTGTCCCACTCTGGCTTTGTACCTGTTGACCAACATCTGCTCTATCCCCATCCACCTTCCTTCCAACCTCTGAACCACGGATGTCCTCTGTTTCCCTGAGTTTAACTTAGTTTTACATTCCACCTCTGGGTGAGGTTAGACTACAGAGGTTCCTTAAAAACCTAAAAATGAGGCTGGGTGCAGTGGCGCCTGCCTATAATTTCAGTGGCTCGGGAGGCTGAGGCAGGAGGATCGTGAGTTCAAAGCCAGCCTCCGCAACAGCGAGGTGCTAAGCAACTCAGTGAGACCCTGCCTCTAAATAAAATACAGAATAGGGCTGGGGATGTGGCTCAGGGGTCGAGAGCCCCTGAGTCCAATCCCTGGTACCAAAAAAAAGAAAAATCCTAAAAATGGAAGGACCCACCTGACCCAGCCATCCCATTTCTGGATAGAAATTCCCAAAGAAAGGGACATCAGGACAGTAAAGAGACCTGTGCTCAGGAGGACACGGAGACAACCTAAGTGTCCATCAGCAGATGAATGGGTCCTCTCCTGGGGTGATATACTCCGTGGAATCGCTTTACGAAGCAGGACACCCTGTCGCTGAAGACAACCCAGATGAGCCCAGAGGATGTCAAGTGAAATCAGTCAGGCACAGAGACACCTATGACGATCACCCATTCTCATGCAGTCGCAAAGGTCTTTGGGGGACCTCTCCGAAGCATGCAGGGTGTCAAGCACTGAAGGCACCTGTCCCCAGGGCAGATCAACCCCCATTATCTCCAGACCTTGCCGAGCCTCCCTGGGGGTGGGTGTCAAAGGTGTCCTCAGGCAAAAGCGTCTGCTCTAGACGTCCCCAGGATCATCTGACAACTGCTCCTACCTGGAGGAGCAGAAATCCCGCTCGGGTCTACCTGCAAGGGAGTGACCAAGTCCCTCCCTCTTCAAAGGCTCTGGAGCACCCTCTGAGCTACGGGCCCACTTCCAGTGCCAACAGAGAGCGCTTCCCAGGGCTTGTTGTATCCTGATGAGGCAGATTTATTAGAGCCCAGGACTCCACAGACAATGTCAGATATTCATCAGCCACAAGACGAAACCCGGCGGAGGAAGTGGCCGCGGAGAGCGCCCTGTCTGGGGATCCCGCCTCTCCTGACCACGCACGGGATCCAAACTGGGCAGTCTGGTTGCTCTGGTTAGAGTTCCCCTCTGGGAAGTCTAGGGTGTTCCTGCACAGCAGACCCCTGGGCTGGGTCTCACCCCCGGCTCCCCGCAGTCTCACCATCAGCACACAGGCCTGGCCTGGTCTTGCCGTCTTAGTGGTCAGCTGTGGAAATGTGCGAGTGCTAGATTGACAGGCCAACGGCGGGGGGGCCTCTTCATAGGTTTGCACGTAGCGTGATGTTCAGACTCACTTTGACTGTGGAGGAACCTGGCTACAAAGGCAGAGGTGAGGGGCTGCCAGGGACCCTCCCACCAGCCAGGGTGGTGCCATTTCCCTTCCATCATCCAGTCCACGCAGATCCATTGCCTGCCGCCATGACCAGCGCTATTCTGCACACCGGGGACAGTGGGAACTCAAGATGAAGACCCTGGCCCTACAGGACTTTAGGGAATTTCTTGTGGATTATGTATGATTTTTAATGGACGATTTTCTTGTATTTGTCCCTTACTGTCACTGTCTGTCTGTCTGTCTGTCTCTCTCTCTCTCCTCCCATACAGCAGTGTGGATTGAACCCAGGGCTTCTGCATGCTGGGTAAGAGTTCTGCCATGGAGTCACATAGTCCAGAATTTTTTCTTTTTCTTTTTTTTTGGTCCTGGGGATTGAACTCAGGGGCACTTAACCACTGAGCGACATCCCTACCCCTGTTTTTATAATTTATTTAGAGGCAAGGTCTTGCCAAGTT